GTGGACTGAATTATGGGGGCAGCTCTTGCAAAGAGCTCCTTCCGTTGCTGCAGCTGCCCTGGGGAGCTCTGCAAGGAGGGATTCTCCAGGGGATTTCCACGCGTAGAGCCGTTTTGCTTGGCAGACCCCTGCCCAGGTTGCTCAAAGAGCCTGGGCTACTTGCAGCCGGCAGCCACAAGGCTGCAAGTGGTTGCATCAGGGTCTGGAGCCCCAGCCTGGCTCGTTTCTGGCAGCAGGTGCACGTGCACCTTGGGGCGGACAGTGGGGAAGGGGCCTGGGCCATGCTACCTCAACAAGGATCGGGCCCCTCGTGACTCCCCGCTGTCTGCCCCTGGCACGCCAACATCTTCCACGCTGAGGTTGCGGGGTTTTGGGCACTTGGGCCACAAACGTTGCTGACCTCTGGTCTGGATGGACCATCCACAGGCTGAAGCCAGGGCTTCTCCTGCTGCCCTCACCGAGCTTGGCTGGTCCTATGCTTCTGCCCTTGCTCCCTGCCTTCAGTGCAGTCAGATCCACACACCCTCCTCAGGCCAGGCTCCTGCGAGCACTGAGCACAGCCAGCACCCTGGGTTTAATGCTACCTAAAGTCAGATAACACTCCTCAAACCTTTCTTCTCCAGGTGGGTAACCAAAGCAGGGCTCTTCCTTCAGAGAAACCAAAGAAGAGCAGTGCTGAAGTCCATCTCTCCACTAGAGCTGGGAGCTTCATAGAGTCATAGAAAATGAGGGTGGGAAGGGACCTCAGGTCACATCTAGTCCGACCCCCTGCTCCAAGCAGGACCAGCCCCAAGTATCTCATCCCAGCCAAGGCTTTGTCTAGCCGGGTCTTCAAAACCTCCAAGGATGGAGACTCCACAACTTCTCTGAGTAACCCGTTTGAATGCTTTACTAAGAAAATTTGGGGTACTCGATGTACCCACCTCCTCCTTGAAATCTCCCCCATAATCTCAGTCGGTTAGACATGGGCACCATCCTTCAGTGGAGGTTTCACATCCCTTCTAAAACCTTTTTCACAATGAGCTATGCTAGGTCTGGGCATCCTGGGTCGCACCTTGCTGTGTGAGTAGGTAACCCTTGCCTGTGCAAAGGAGAAAACAGCACCAACCTTTGTATATCTTGAGTAGATGCTGGGCAACAACCCCCGGCTGATGTCTCTCCAATGCCTGTGGTCTTATTGCCAGTGAGGTCTGACTGCCAGGACTTGTTCCTCCCCGAGGCAAGGACGGGATTGTCTTCTCTATCCGTACCAGATTGATTAATGGACAGCCCGGTCCACAGGTCTCAGGGCTGAGAAGCAAGAGACCTAGCAAGCGATTCAGTTAGCGAGACACAGAGCACTTCCTTTCATCTCTATGCTTCACCTTCCCCACATGCAAGGGAGAAAATGGCACCTGCCTACATGTGTCAAGAGATGCAA